GGAGGTGCTCGATAGGATGTAAGGATCTGACAGCACTGAGGTATCAGTAGTACCCTGAGGGTTTTCTTGGATTTGGAGGCCACGAAAGGTTACTTGTGAACTTTCATTGATTTTTTTTTTCACGATTTTATTTATTTATTTGACAGATAGAGAGCACAAGTAGGCAGAGCAGCAGGCAGAGGGAGAGGGAGAAGCAGGCTTTCTGCCGAGCAGGGACCCCAGTGTGGTGGGGCTTGATCCCAGGACGTTGGGATCATGACCTGAGTTGAAGGCAGATGCTTAACCGACTGAGCCGCCCAGGTGCCCCAAACTTTCATTGATTTTTATACCTCCAGGAGTCATAGGTTGAGTCTGTGCTCATGGTAGCTCCCTAGTAACATTGCATGTATGATGGGCATATAACTGAGCCAGAATGAAGGTCTGGTTGATTGTTCCTTCTTTGTCAGGGATGAGAGCTCTTAGTGGTGAAAAGATTATGAACCCCATTATTAAATGGGCAGGGCAGTGCCCAGAATTGTCCAGAGCAAAGTTGGTCTAATACCAATGAGAATAACAATTTACCTGATTTCTAGAATAAAAATAACATTGTCAAATTGAATTATAATTTGTAATTAAAAATGAGATCATAGTAGTTCTTCTGTTTTTTGATAGAATGTAATGTTGCTTTTGCGTTGAAGACAGTAGATGGCAGTGTCCCCTCATTTTAGAAAAACTTGGGAGGAGGAAGTTTTAGTGCATTTAGCGGCCCCAGACTTGAAGACGAACAGTGCCCTTTCGTGTGACCATTAATTGGGCCAGATGGCAGTTTTGTTAAGTTAGTCTTCAAAACAAGAGCATACGTACAGACTCCTTTGGTTTCCGAGGAGGAAAAGCCTGTTGTCATTTTTAATACTTTATGTTACAAAGTGAAAATACCATTATGATTCATGAAATTTAAGTCAAATTCCCTGGAGACACTTGTAGTGCACTTTATTCTGCCTAAATATGTCCACTGGCTGCCAGCTTCCTTTCCTTTCTGTTTAAAAGGATTAATAAGACATGATAATAATAAATACATAGTGCTGAGTACAAAAGAATGCCTCCCCCTTTTTTAAAGATTTTATTTATTTGTCAGAGAGCGAGAGCACAGGTAGGGGGAGTGGCAGGCAGAGGGAGAAACAGGCTTCATGCTGAGCAGGGAGGCCGATGCGGGGCTCGGTCCCAGGACGCTGGGATCATGACCTGAGCCGAAGGCAGTTGCTTAACCAACTGAGCCACCCAGGCGCCCCAAGAAGAATGCCCTTTTAAGAGTAGTGATGATGTGGTCATGAATGTAGAGTTTGGGAAAGAGAAAAGAATAACAACCAAAGAAATGAATGAAGTCTGGGATTTTATGACCAGTCTAAGATGGCCAGGTGGCTTAAAATGTCACCTGAGAATCAAGACACACCAGATGTTAAAAGTGAGCAGTAGTAAGATTTGCTGTGATTTGTCTTACGTGAATTATCTAAAGATACGTAGATACGTCTTTTGTGACCAGAAAAAAAGGAAAACTGTTCTCAGCCGAGGAGGAGAAATTCACTTTTTTTTTTGCTTGCCTATTTTAATTATAAAAGTTTTTGCATTTGTGTATTTAGTTTTTAAAAGGTTTTATTTATTCATTTGATAGAGCACAGGCAGGGGGAGCAGCAGAGAGAGAGGGAGAAGCAGGCTCCCCACTAAGTAGGGAGCCCAGTGCGGGCTCCACCCCAGGACCCTAGGGTCAAGACCTGAGCTGAAGGCAGATGCTAAACCGACTGAGCCACCCAGGTGCCCCCAAATTTTTGCATTTAAATATAGTGTAAATGAAAGGTGTAACTCCTAGTGTTCCCAACACTAGAAATATTTCAGCTTCTGTCCTTCTTATCTGTGTCTGATAATATCACCAAGACTTTCAATTCGTCTGTATGTAGGTCATATGGGAGCCGATGATCCGTGCTGGTTTGAGTCATCCTTGCCTGCAGAGATATGGATCCGGGTATTGGACTCACTCACCGATGTCCACTTTGCTCTTAACCAAATTGAATGGCCCTTTTGACCCTCAGTTTCCAGGTTAAATGAGGTCGGAAGCAGCTTGTACAGAGACAGACTTTTAAAATCTAATCTTTTTTTATGAAAACATCCTCTTTTCTGTCCCTAAGAGGGTACGGACTATATCTTTTTTCCCTTTCCCTTATATCTTAAGCATCTAGAAAAAAGCCTGGTACAAAGGAGGTACTTATGAGGTATCTGTTGAGTTAATGTAAAGTTTGAACCCTTTTTATTTCAGAGGCCCCAACTTTGTTGAACAGTTTTGTGTTGATGAATGGGAGGGAGTTAACTACTGGCTACCAAAATTGGCCAGGTTTTCCTCCCATGTTTTATCTCATTTATTTTTTATTCAGGTTTAGAAAATGTATCATCATTATATATTTATAATAATTATTACATATATATAATATCTGGGGGCACCTTCGTGGCTCAGTTGGTTAGGCATCCGACTCTTGGTTTCAGCTCAAGTCATGATCTCAGGGCCATGAGACTGAGCCCTGCATTGGGCTCTGTGCTGAGCGTGGAGCCTGCTTAAGATTCACTCTCTCCCTCTCCCTCTGCCCCTCCCCGCCTTGCTCATGTGCTCTCTCTCTCTCAAAAAAGAAAGAAAGAAAGACTTAAAAATTAAAAAAAAATAAAAATGTCTAAACACAAATGTATCAATGTTGAATTAAAGGTATTATGTCACAGGTTTACAGCAGAGCAGGTTCCTGATGGAATTGGGAGGGGGAAGATGAACAGTTTAAGAAAAGACAACAGCACACTCCTACTTTAGGGTATTGATTAAAAGCTAATAATTTGTTAACTTAAGGAAGATTTTTTTTTATGCTTTATTTTTTTGAGAGGGTGAGAGAGGGCGTGAGTTGGGGGAGGGGCAAAGGGAGAGGGAGAAAAGCAGACTCCCTGCTGGGGAGCGACTAGGGCTCCATCCCATGACCCTGAGATCATGACCTGAGCCGAAATCGTGAAACCAATTGAGGCACCTAGGTACCCCAAGAAGATTTTTTTTGGAAAAGATTTTATTTTTAAGTAATCTTAAACCCTACATGGGGCTTGAACTCACAATCCCGAGATCAAGAGTCGGATGCTCTATCGACTGAGCCAGCCAAGCGCCCCCAAGATTTTTTTTTGAAGATTTTGTTTTTGAGTGATCTTTATACCCAACGTAGGGCTTGAATCCTCAACCCCAGGATCAAGAGTTGCATGCTCCACCGACAGCCAGCCAGGACAATTTTTTGATGACATGTGACCCCTCACGCAGGTGTTCACTATGCCTAGGTTCCTGCTACTAAGTAAGTGTAAGGAATAGGAGGGAATGTTTACTCAGAAACACCAGTGTCTATAGTGATGATGTCCCTGATAATAAAGAGTTCAGCTCTGTCAGTGGAATATTTTTTAAAAATCCTAGGTTCTGATTTTAGTATCGCTTTCTCTTGCTCCCTCCATTAGCCTGCATATTTATACATTTATCCCGTTTTACTGCCCTACCATGTGCCACGTGTTGGAGCTGTGAAGTCACCACATAGCTCCTGACTTTGAAGTGTTTTCAGTCTAGTGGTAGAGACAGATGTGTAAAGAAATGTAACAGTGTTGGCTGGAACACAGAAAGGATAGGGCTCTCCTGGAGGGGGCGGGGGGGGGCAGGCAAAGTCAGAGAATTTGTCACCAGATGTCAGTGCCTTTTCTGGTGCTTAAGCCATGAGAAAGTGCTTAGTCCCTGAGCTGTCAAAGTAACCAGCTGTGATAGATTTACTGGGTAGCAGTTACCGGTGGGCACCTCCTAAGGCATTTCCTCTTAAACATGGACTTTTGAGCAGAACCTCCAAATAGAATGTGACTTCCTGTACATTTCTGGTTCCAGGGGCACTGGGCTTGACTGGCCCTTCATGTTTGCATTCCCACTCTATCTAGAATGGTACTTTGCATATTAGTGGTACTCATTAAATGTTTACAGTGAAAGCGGAATTGTTTAAGGAAAATTCATATTATGTAAGAAATAATTTGAGGAGTATTGATTTATTTTATGAATATATCACTTATTTTATAAAAAGACTTTCCATAGAATTAATGTAAATAGCAGCTCACCAGAGAATTAAGTTTGTAAAAATTTTCTGATTCACCACTTTTCTGGAATTTATTCCAGTGTGTAAAGTAAGTTATGCTTTCATAAAGAGTTTAGTTTAATAACCTTTTGATTAAAAGTTCACACTTTATTTTTTTTTTTTTTTAATAAAGATTTTATTTATTTGATAGAGAGAGACACAGGGAGAGAGGGAACACAAGCAGGGGGAGTGGAAGAGGGAGAAGCAGGCCTCCTGCAGAGCAGAGAGCCTGATGCGGGGCTCAATCCCAGGACCCTGAGATCATGACCTGAGCCAAAGGCAGATGCTTAAGGACTGAGCCACCCAGGAGCCCCAAAAGTTCACACTTTAATAATAGTCAGTGTTATTTTGATTGGTTATGAGCCAACAATGTGTGTGTTTCTAACAATTGATTTTTTTTTTTTCCAAAGATTTTATTTATTTATTCATGAGAGAGAGAGAGAGAGGCAGAGGGAGAAGCAGACTTCCCGCAGAGCGGGGAGCCCGATGCGGGACTCGATCCCAGGACTCCGGGATCATGAGCTGAAGGCAAACGCTTAACCATCTGAGCCACCAAGGCGCCCCTCTAACAATTGATTTTACTTAACTTTTTGTTTCAGAATTAAGACAGTGAGGAAGGAAGCAATCCAGAAATTGTGATTTAAACTTGATACTTTCCTTAGAAAGTAATACTGGTTAATACTTGGATTGAACATTCTTTTTTTCTTTTAGAGTTTTGTATTAAAAATAGAAAGTCTTTGGACAGGATGACCTTTTTTTTTTTAATGCCATATTTAAATACCTCTCTTTATATTATTCCTGGGAACACAGCTTTAAGAATAAATATTTAAACTTCTGTGCTCTTTTCAGATACGGTTAAAAAACTCCAGGATCAAAAACATGACATGGAAAGAGAAATCAAGACACTCCACAGGAGACTTCGGGTAGGCTAAATCCTCATGTATTATCTCATTAGAATACCTAGGTTTCTGAAAGTTGAGTACAGTGTAGTCCTTGATCGTGTTAGCATTCATCTTAAGCTTCAGATACAGTTAAAATACTGATCCTACTGGGCTTTGGGCAGAAAGCAAATGCCATCATTTCAAGTTGGGATTAGTGCTAGATTCTGGATAGAAGAATCTACTAGTAATTTATGAATGGTAATTTTAAAAAGATGGATTTAGGAAGCAAGTGTTATATTTTGGAAAGAAAAATTATTCACTCTTGATTAGAAAGTGTCCCAAACCAAGCTGTTTTCATCTGGGTTTTCTGTCTACTGTGAATTTGATCAGCTTGCCGACAGCGGTGCCACTCTGCTGCAGAGGTGGGGGAAGCTCATCTCAGAGTTTGGGTCATGCCTCAGTTACCAGGCTGTATTCATGGTGTCAGAAAATCGCTTTGGGGTGATGGATGCTGGGCCCGGGACTGGACAGCTGTGGCTCTGGTGGAAGTGACACCCTGGGGAGGCTTGTCCACCCGGTCACACCCGCATCCTCCATGGCTGTGGGAAGCCGCAGACTGTACAGTTCCTTAGCTCCTCTCTTTGTATGGTTTTGTCTGCCTAGTTTGAGTTTAGTGTTTTTCTTCGGCCTTCCTCTTCCTTTTCCTTGACTTTTGATTTTTTTTTCCTGTTAGTTTTTGATGTCAAGATATTTATAGTTTTTCACTGTAAAATCTTTCAGTATGGTTCACACACCATTATCTACTTTTCAGAGGTAAAGTGCTGTGAGTTTTGAACGATGTGTTTATTTTCATAAGACTTATAAACTTGCATAAGGAAGGGAGACTTGACATTTTTGTCATTAATACTGAGTACTCTCGTGAGGCAGAGCAGCTAGAAGGTCTTTTCTTCATTAAGAACAAGTTCACTACTAATGATTGTATTACCTGTTACCTGTTAGAAATGATAATAGCAGTTCTCTGAGCTTTAAAATAAATTAATCATCATTTGGGATAGTGCATTACAGTGCAATCATAAACACATTATTTTTAAGTAAGTCTTCATTGCTCTCTTTTGGAAATAAAAATTTAGTTTTTTAACGTAGGAAGAATCTGCGGAGTGGCGGCAGTTTCAGGCTGATCTCCAGACTGCTGTGGTCATTGCCAATGATATTAAATCTGAAGCCCAAGAGGAGATTGGCGATCTGAAGCGTCGGTTACATGAGGCTCAAGAAAAAAATGAGAAACTCACGAAAGAATTGGAGGAAATAAAGTCACGCAAGTACGTTTTGAGAAACCAGTTGTGCACTTATGTTTTAATAGAGAACACTTAAATCCCAATTTTGTGATGTGGTATTATGGAAAGAATGAGTGTGGATCCTAGTGGAAGTTACTCAATTTTTCTGGCCTCACTTTATGACACCTGTAAAATAGCACAGTCTGTATGATCTGTCAGAGTTGTTGTCAGTGTCTTAATTAACAGCTCTGGAGGGGCCAGACTGGTCCCTGGCACAAGGTACCTTCTAGTTCTCTCCTTTCCTGTATCTGCACACTCCAGCCCTGTTACTTTGCTTTAGGTTAATAGCCTCTGATTAAGGATGTGTACTGTGGAGGCAGATGGGCGTGACTCCTGTCCAGTTCTGCTCCTTACTAGCTATGTGATCTTGGTCAGGGCCCTTAACTTCCTCAAGCCTCAGTTTGCTCATCTTTAAGTTGGAGACACTACTACCTGCTCTACAGTGTTGCTGCAAGGCTTAGAGGAGACCTGCCTGCAGAATGGCCAGGGCAGTGATGAGTATACTGTATTTTATTTTAAGATTTTATATATTTGTTTGAGAGAAAGAGAGAGGGAAAGCACAGAGGGAGAGTGAGAGGGAGAAGCAGACTCCCCGCTGAGCAGTAAGCCCGACATGAGGCTTGATCCCAGGACCCGGGATCAGACACTTAACCAACTGAGCCACCCAGGCGCCCCTGCTTTAATAACTAATATTATTAGAGACCCAAGTAAAGAATGCGAAGTGAGTTTTTTTCCATCACTCACTTGAGTTTTCACTTATAACCACCTGAATCTCCATAGTAGTATTTTTTCCCATTAACATAGAGATCATTGGGGGGCTTCTGGGTGGCTCAGTCGTTAAGCATCTGCCTTCGGCTCAGGTCATGATCCCGGGGTCCTGGGATCGAGCCCCGCATCGGGCTCCCTGCTCAGC